CTCACCACCAATGGAGAACTGACGCTCCATCTTAATGATCAGGACAAACACTTGTGGGACTTGATGGATAGTGTAACATTTAAGGTGATGAACAAACTCTCATCCTCCGCAAACAGTGATGATCTTGAATACTGGCATGAGACTGACAAAACTTGGAGGAAAAACGCTCCTCCATCAGAGCAGATACGCAAAAAGCTTCTTGTCCATGATGCCTCGACAATGTGGATAGGAGACAGTAGAGACACTGAAGCACCAGTGAGCCTTGATTACCGCCTCCGAGGTGTGGATAATATCTACATCAGTGGGGGAGCATTGTGGCCTAGTGGTGGATCATGGAATCCTGTCCTAACCAATGTGGCCATGGCCATGCATTTAGCTGATACTATTTCTAAAGTTGCATGTGATTGCTAAGTGGCAGTGCAGATCTACATGATTTGTCCAATCACTGCGCAATTTTCCATTATACGTGTAAACACATACGCATAGACTTCTGAGCAGCCATCCTATTCCACGATGTTGAACATTGCGGAATCAGTTCCGGCTTCAGAATCAATTTCATCCGATTTCGGGAATTCCGTCCAATCAGAATTTCTGAGAATAACTTCCAATTCAGGAATTCCTTCCTATTCCAGCATTCCGTGTCGGAATCAGTTACTTATTCAAGAGGTTAACCACTGACCATACCAGTATGCATGAGGGTGAGGGAGAGAAGTAATTTCGGTGCGAAATTTTCGGAATCGCTTACAATTCCGGAACGCACGGAATTCCTTCCGATTCCGGAATTCCAGGAATCGCTTGCAATTCCATGTCGCAATTAGTTACTTATCCAAGAGGTTAACCTCTGACCATACCATTGTGCATGGGAGTGAGGGCAAAAGTAATTCCAGTGCGGAATTCCTTCCGATTCCGGAATTGGAAGTTATTTTCAGGAATTCCGGGATCGGATGGGATTGATTCTTGAGCCAGAACTGATTCCACAATGTTCGACATCGCGGTATACGATGTATTCTCAGACTTCTCCATTATCCTGTTGTTCCTTTATCTCTCATCATACATTCTACCGATTGTTCTATTATGCTTGATTCAGTTGGGATTCTTTTTTCGTCAAGAATTAACAATTTCAGTAGTCCAGATCCACATTACGTAACATTAATGGAGAAGTTGGTCTTCTTCCTCATTCATCAAAAGGACTTATCGATCCATGTCATCCTAAATCAATATCAACACGACGTGAACAAGGAGTACCAACACATCTGCATGTACTCAATGTAACGTCCCTATTCTCCAACTTTAACAAGAAGAAAAAGAACGTAAAGCTCAAAATAAGATGTTGAATTCATTGTCCACACAAATACTTCTCAAGGGTATGCAACCACTTGAACTTTTTTCTGAAGACCGCTTAACAATTGTACCAACGTATTTAGCTGGAGATGCCAAGCAATAGTACCGTGTGCGTAATCCCTGCGATTCTTGGTCTGATTTTAAAAGCGTCATTGTGAACGCTTTTAAATCATTGGCGCACCAACACATTGTTTTCATTTGCATTCTGACCATCTCGTTGTTGATTCTTTCCATTTATTCTTTGATCATTTTCTATCTGTATTTATTTCTTTTTTGTAAATCTTTTGTTTAATAATTTATTTTTTTATATGCAGAGTCCTGATGAGTGTTCTAAATTTGAATCAATAACACAAAACGCGACGGCAAAAGTAAAACTGCATTGTTCTGATTTATTTCCACATTCATTTTCAATTTTCCTGTCGATTTAATCAATTGCTGAAAAGTAAAACTTGAGATTATCAATTAAACTTTCCTTCAAGAGAGATCAATTTGTTTTCCGATCGAGTATCAAATAGAGAAAGAAGATGAAGAAAATGATGACGATGACAGAGATAACAATTTGTTTAGTCGAATAACGTAGATGATGTGCCATGGAAGTTGTCTTTTACCAAAAAACTCTCTGATGCTCCTTGTATCGAGTGGTCAACTATTTCATGGTCAAATCAACCACTATAAAGACACTTGAGTCATTGAGTAAATCGAGTGTGTAGTTTCGAGCGACGTCCTAATGTGCGTTACAAAGAAGATGTTTTTTCCAATCGTTGATGAGTTGGACATTATGATGTATTCGATAAAGTATACGATTATAAGTCACAATTGAATCTGATTTGTCGCTCGACAGATAGAGAAGAAAAGTTCCTCTAACGACTTTTTCTGTTCTATACACTTGACAGAACAAAACTCCACTGTACTATCAAATATATTTTATTTAAATTTGTTTTATTGGAACTTTTTTCGAAAACGAGAGCAAATAGTTCCAATAGACACAGATTTGTAGTAAGAGGACGAGTAAATGGCATGAGTATTTTTATTCTAATCATCGTTCAATTAAGATTTTTACAACAAGTAGTCATAGATGAGATGAATTTGTAAAATAATTTCAGCTTAAAATATGTTTCATTATCGATATATAAAAAGCAAAGAATCACATTGCTGCATCCTGCAGACAGCATTGGAATAAATTCTTTCAGGGCTTTTGTCTACACCACTAACCTTATCGATCAGCAAAGTATGAGCTCTAACGGAGGGTATCACTTGAGAATGTTCTCTCGTTAGCAAATTATCATGATACTGACATTTAACGTATGCGAACTAAATATTACCCAGTAAATGAGAAGAAAGTGTAACTATCTGCTCATGTGTACAAATTGAATCAAATACTCGAAAATCAGGATATTTGGAGCTTTTTTGGTATAAGAAAACTACAGTAATTGTTTTCTGTAACTATAATGATAGGATCTCGATCAACCACTTTTATCATTCCTTAAATAATTATCATCATCAGATTTCAGAATAGTGAATAGTTGAATAGTTGAACTTCAACTATCCAAAAAATGAATAACTGAATAATTGAATAGTTGAATAGTTGAACTTCAACTACTCAATAATTGAATAATTGAAGTAGATTTTCAATAATTGAATTCAACTTTCAGGTTTGACATGTATGCATAAACAGTAAATCGTATCAGTTAGATCATTTTGTTAAAGACGAAATTAGTATAAAATAATATTGTTAAATTTTGGTTTTCTGGTCAAAAATATGGTTTTATATTTACAAAACAAAAAAACAAAAGATTAC